GAGAGGAATTATAATTAACTTAACTAATTACTAATAACTTTATACAATTCCTGTTGTGACAGAAGTCAGGTGTTTGGATCTACACATTTGTAATGAAACAATGGTTGAATGAACTTTGATTTTGCTGACAAAAAAAAAGGTTTCTTGCTGACACATTCAAAAGTGGATTTAAAGTTAGGGATGTCCCCCGACTCCACCCTGAGTCATTTAATATTGAGTATATGTCGATACTGAGTCCTGATCCAATATTTGTATTATTGTAGATAATACAGTGCACATTTCAACTACATTAAAGTTATTATATCATTTTATGGTGCTTTGTTGCAGCCTTTACCTGAGTTACTGAATCTGTCTGTATTCTGCTGGTTATTTACACCATCTCTACATCTCTCGATAATATTATTGACCTACTCTTATTGGCGGGGCTTTTGTTGCACCTGCAGTGACATTTTGTGGCTTTTTGTCTCAGCTCAGCGATAAGAGTCGACTCTTCATTCAGTTCCACTTCTGGAACTGTTCAGCCAAATTAATCAATGTGTTGACCTATGACCCATGTGTGCACATATATTGCTTAAAGAACATCTCCAGAATATGATAATATTATAATATGTTTGTTATGAAAATTAAATGACAAACATCTCACCATGCTTGGTTCAAATGTTTTTTTTGTGGATTTAATACACGTACTTTATTGATCCCCTAGGGGAAATGATTTTTTTCACTCTTTTTTATACACACACACAGGCTGAAATACAGATGAATGCAAACATGAGCAGGTTTTGGGGTTAGGTTGCCTTGCTCAAGGGCACCTCGGCAGTCCACAGGAGGTGAAACTGGCACCTAACAGTCCACACTCCATATTTTGTGGTCTGTGGGACTTGAACTGGCGACCCTCCGGTTCCAAAGCCAAGTCCCTACACACTGAGCTACTGCCGCCCCCCCATGGCTAATTTTATTTGTATAGCGCCAATTCATAACAGAAGTTATCTCAGGACACTTTAATAGTGTTCAAATAGAGCAGGTCTAGACCGAACTCCTTTTAACAATCACAAAATAATGCCTTGCATTCATTTATTAGAAAAAGGACATGGATATGGGGAGGGACAACCTAAAGACGACCAATCAGCTGGTGAAACAGCCATTCCCTCCAACTGAACTCTGTATCTCAAGCTAATTATGCAAAGTGGATCAGAGATGTGATGTCCTCATTGTTGAACTGATTCACTGTTGGGTTGTTTCAGATCCTCCTGGTCCTCCATCGATCCGTCTGAACTCTGACTTCCTGCCGAACCAAACCGAGGTGGTCCTGACCGCCGGCGCCAACTTCAGCCTCAGTTGTCATGGTAACGGTATTGTCCGTTGGTCCAGTACTGCGTTCCGTCTGCTGTACGATGACAGACTGAAGGATCTGGTGGAGGTACGGAGGGCGGACCCCAGACACACCGGGACGTACCGCTGTGGGTACACCAACCAGAGCCTGGAACACCTGGACACCTGGATTCACCTGTATGTCAAAGGTAGGTTTAGCTCAGGCCACACCTCACACCAAATGTCTGATTCAGATATTCCAACTCCAATGAATCCTCTGTTTCCCATAATGCCCCTCTCTCAGACCCGGCTGACCCCTCCAGTGTGTTCGTCACTCCTCGCAGCAGCATCCCTGCCCTCAAGGAAGGCCAGGACTTCTTGTTCAGGTGTCTGCTGACCGACCCGTCAGTCACAAACCTCACCCTCCAATCAGAGGACCGAATTGGGGGTAGGGGGCGGGACCTGCCCCACGGCATGATTGTGACCTTTGACCCCCAGAAAGGAGCCCTGATCAGAGATTTGCAGATGTCGTTTAAAGGACACTACGTTTGTTCAGGCTGGAAGGACGGACGGCAGTTCAGATCCAGACCTGGCAACCTGGTGGTGGTCCACAGTAAGTCTGTCTGTCTGTCTGTCTGTCTGTCTGTCTGTCTGTCTCACTAACTGTCTGTCTGTCTCACTAACTGTCTGTCTGTGTGCAGGGCTGCGTGGGCCTCCCTGTCTGTCTGTCAGTCAGGGTGAACTGGTCCGTCTGGAAGGAGAGCACTTTGAAGTCACCTGTGTGACTAGTAACCCCACCCATTTGTACAACGTCACCTGGACGGGCCCAAACTCAGAGGTCAGAGGTCAGAGGTCAGATGTCTGTTTGTACTGCTCTCACACTGTCTGTTCTGACGTCCTCTGTTTGCTTTGTTCCAGAGACTGAAGGTCCGTGTCAGCCAAGACTATATCAAAAAACACGTGTACAAAAACAGCACTGTGAGAGTGTCTGCTGTCAACCTGACTCACAGTGGAATCTACACCTGTACTGCTGTCAATGAGGCTGGGGTCGCCATGGCAACCACACATCTCAGAGTTGTGGGTAAGAACACTTAGAGCCTGTTTACACCTGGTTAAAACATCTCCACGTGTGTGTCAGCAGTGTCCATAATACTGTCCTTTCTTCAGTTCAGAAACATACTCACTGTTTTACAGTCGCTGTCAGCAGCCTGCAGCAGAGATGCTCTGTGGTGCATTGTGGGATTTTATAACTGAACTATGATTGTCCAACTGTCAGTCCAACAGTCTCTCACATTGGACGCAGGAGAAGATGTTGGACCATCGTCCAGACAACACGCAGGAAATAACTCAGGAACAACTTAATGTGGAATGTTTCCACAATTTACAAGAAATAACGAGCAATGTGTGGTAGATAACATTTTGTGTGGTGATATTGTGGTTACTGGTTCAGTGTGTTCACAAACATCTCCTGCGGATTTCTATCTATCAAAGTAAACTAAACAGTCTGTGTTCTTACAGGACGTCAGTGAGGAGGACCTCCTTCTATGTGGACCAGGACTCTATAGTGTTTACAGTACAAAGATATGTGTTAAATGAGACCACATAAGGAAGTGGTTTGAGTGATGAGATCACAATGCATCTTTGCGACCGTTTACACTGCATTTAGAGCTGTCCACTTGTGATCGGATCACCCAGACACATTCTGATAACAGGCTCATAATTACCTTCAAAGAACAAGATGGCTTTAGAGAACCAGATATCTCTTACTCTGTCTCTTTACTGTCTCTATTCTTCCTCAACAGACGCTCCCTTCCTGAGGATTTACCTGCAGCAGATGCCGCGTGCTAACGCTAACGCCAAGACCATACAGGCCAAGGGTGACCTGGTTGCTAACCGTAGTAGCATGCTATTAGAGGAGCAAGGAGAGCTAGAAGCTAACATTAGCAGCGGTTCACTGGAAGTGAACAGGGAATTAATTGTTAACGTCAGCACCAAGACACTGGATGTGAATGGAGCTAGCAGTGCTAACGTTAGTGGTAGCAGCACAGTGGAGGTGTATGAAGGCCGAGATATGATGCTGACCTTTGTGACAGAGTCATACCCTCCAATCAGGAAGCAGCACTGGACGACACCATCAAAGATCAACAACACGGTGTACGAGGAGAGCTACGCTGCTAATGGCCACAGGTTAGCATACTAAGAGATAAAAGCTTGCATTATGAGACATTTATTAATGTGGTACTGTTGGTGTTGCATTGTGTATAGTTTGTGGTTCTGTATTAAGGTGGTATTTTTCATGTTGCAGTTTGTTAAGGTGGTTATTGTTTTATTCTGAAGGTCAGAGGCGAGCTTGCTGCTGCGGCGGGTTCGCCAGGAGGATCGCGGTCGTTACTCGTTCCACTTCTTTAACTCGTTCTTCAGTGGTTTGCATAACATCGACCTCCGAATTTACCGTAAGAAACCTTAACTTCTTCTTCTTCTTCTTCACCCTCAGTGCCATGGCTTCTCTATCTTCTTCTAAAAGTCACATGGCCTATAAGCTAGCTGTAAATCATTAATGTGACGGTCACCTGATTAAACAACTCAACTTTCTTTCATAATATTTTATGTGATTAAAGAAAGAAAAGTATAAAATCAAATGTATCTTTCAGGTTTTCCGAGTGCCGTCATCAGTTTGGAGAACAACACTCTGACCTGCAGCAGCTCTGGATATCCACTACCCCAAATCCTCTGGTACACCTGCCCCGGGTTCCAGGACACGTATGTACCAACAGTGGAAGTATTGAAACTATAATCACAAGCCAGATCAGCCATGGGAGTCTTCTCCCGTTGACAAATACATACATTTCATCATAAACCTACACTACTAAGTTACAATCACTTAGACACACAGACCACCAAACAAACACAACAGCTTCAGAGTCAGAACACATCAGCAACAGATCAAATACGCTGCTTAAAGAGAGAGAACATGAAACAGCAGAGATCACATAAAATGCCACAAAGTCAGCAAAGTTTCCAAATTGACCAGATTATTAAAAATATATTAAAACTCACCACTGAAGGTTTAAAAGCAGCGTAATCGGCTGGTTGTTGTTTTAAAAAAGCTATCCAGCACCAATTTAATGCACTAATTGAGTTTACCAATTTTACACTGCAAAAAATAATGGTAAAGGTGAGCTCATGTGAGTGGCGTGGTGACTGTGTTTACAACATAAAACAACAGTAAAATCACCTCCTCTGCAGGTGTGGAGATGTCTCAACCAATCAGGTTCTTCCAGCTGATGTGACCTCACAGGAGGAGGAAGAGGAAGTCAGGAACCATCTGAGCCTCCCTCTGTCACCTGCTGGTGATGTCACCGTGGAGTGTGTGGCCTACAACCACATGGGAGTGTCTCACAAAGTCTTCCATCCTCGTAAGTGTCCGTGTACGAGCCTGTCCTTATAAAACCTGGTACGAGATGTTCTATCAGTGCGTTCTGGTGTTTTCAGGTTCTGCTGGAGAACCTCAGACGGCTCTGATTGGAGCTCTGAGTGCCGCTGCCGTCCTCCTCCTGCTCCTATTGGTCGTCTTTTATAAGTGGAGACAGGTACGCTTGCTTTACTTTATCTTTATAATATATAAAAGTATATATGGATCACTAATCTGTAATGCAAACACACAGAACATAAAACAAAACACAATGACTGTAAAATAAAATACAGCATATATAATAATAATAATAATAATAATGACTTTATCTCATCCTCAACCTGCAGTTCTGTTCCTTCCTCTGTTAGAAACCCAGATATGAGATTCGCTGGAAGATTATCGAGAGCACCGACGGAAACAACTACACCTTCATTGACCCCACCCAGCTGCCGTACAACTACAAGTGGGAGTTTCCTCGAGACAAACTCCGCCTCGGTACGAGACAGTGTTTCAGTCAATACTGACATTATATTTATTTAGTGTTTCTCTGGGTCAAATTTTATACAACAGGAAACTAAACGAGACATTTAAAGACAACTTGGAACATTTTGATATTTTACACGCAGATTCATAAAGAGGAGTCCAGTAAAAGTAGCGGATTTGCTGCACTCAGGAACGTACTGATTGTGTCACTCAGTACAAAGCTACTGATTGTTCAGCTCAGTAAAAGGTCGATTGTTCACTCTAGTAAGTACTGATTGTTCACTCCAAGGTAAAAGGACTGATTGTTCACTCAATAAAAGTACTCTGTGGGTTTCTTTAGAGGTTGTTTTGTTTTGTCTTGTTCCGTCTCTTATGTGATATTCTGCAGCCTGGATTTTGGGAAGGTATTCAGTGACTCAGTATTTCCATTTAAAACCCTCCAATCCCATTTCACAGTAACCATTGTGTGATCTGTTGTTTGGATGTGAAAGCAGTTTCACACAGACGCTCCTCGGATTACTCAGATTGTCTCTGTTTTCAAAAATAGGAATAATCAGGTCCAAATGGACATATTTAATATGTCTGTCTGTCTGTCTGTCTGTCTATCAGGTGCTGTTTTGGGTTCGGGGGCATTCGGGAAGGTCGTCGAGGCGACGGCGTACGGTCTGAGAACCGACAATGACATCACACGGGTTGCTGTCAAGATGCTCAAACGTCAGTCCACAAATCTTCATCATCATCATCATCATTGTTACATGTTTACACAGTGTTGTTGTTGTTGTTGTTGTTGTTGTGATTTATGTTATTATCTGTCGTGTTGTTAACGAGCAGCGAGCGCTCACTCTGAGGAACGGGAAGCTCTGATGACAGAGCTTAAGATCCTCAGCCATCTTGGTTACCATGACAACATCGTCAACCTGCTGGGCGCATGCACTCAAGGAGGTGATGACGGTTTAATTAATTATAAAACTAATGAGATCGTATTTAATGTGGATTAATTTGCCGCTGAATATACAGTTATGCTCATAAGTTTACATACTTACCCAGGGTATGTAAACTTATGAGCACAACTGTAGTCCCCAACAAATTCCTCTGTTTAATGTATAATATGTGAGGAACCAGTGAGCCTCAGACAGCAAGTCAGACTGAACTCTAACCTTTGACCTCTCTCCCCTCAGGCCCCATGTTGATGATCACAGAGTACTGTAGCCATGGCGACCTGCTCAACTTCCTGCGGGCTCACGCTCAGGACTTCATGGCCTCCATTTTGAGCGTGGATGAAGTGACAGGAGAGGCTTTCTATAAGAACGTGGCCGGCCAGCACGCCAGACTCAGGAGGTCTGAACTTTTCTCTCTTTACAGACGATTAATCAATAAAAACATCAACATCTGCTAGTAATTATCTGATATTTACCAGGTAATCAACCCACCATCACCATCACTGTGTGTGTGTTTCAGTGACAGTGGGATCTCTTGCTGCTCAGAGTATCAGGAGATGCATCCAGTTCTGAGTCCAGGACAAACACACCTGGGTAAACACCTGAACTCACCTGTACACAC